TTTTTTATTTATCAGATTTGAGTGCAACTTGATCACATTGCTTATTCGTTTTAATGATGTATTTCTCTTTATATAAAAAAAATTAAAAGTGCCACCACCACTCTTTTGGGAGTACAACTTTATGTTACATTTTATTCAGTTGTGCAAAATCTATAAATATTAGGAACTGGTAACTGCGAAGATGTATAGAAAAATATACAGGGAGTACGTTAGAATAAAAAAATAGACATTTGATTATTAAGTGTTAAACTTGTACCATTCTGCAGTCAAATTTGAAACCAAATTTGACGAGCTGAGAACGCCATTTCACTTAAAAATTTAACCTGGTTCTAATTTATTCAAAAATTTAAGTATTTTTTCGCGAAATTTTTTGTTATCTATTTTGATTCTAATAATGAGTATTTATCATTCTAAGAAATTTTGTCTTCTTCGAGTTCTTCATTTTATGAGGTCATGCTTGTCTTGTTGCCAAAACTAATAATCAAAATGAATAAACATATTTAAAGGAAGAATAAGAAAGCGAGAAATTAGATGTTGCCAGATATAAATCTTAACATTTGTAATGAAATTTCTAAAAATACAAAAGGCGTATGAGAGAAAAAAACTGTTTTGAACCGATTTGAACTATTCTATGATATAAGGTTATCGTTAAATATTATAAACGAGAAAAATTAATACTCAGTTGTCATTTCTTATTGTGTCGCACATTTGATATTCTTAAGTTAATTTTTTGTTTCAAGAACTATTGACTATATTTCAAATCTAGGTGTCCGTTAATTTCGTTGCGATTAAAATACTAACAAAAAGAGCTTACAAAAACTTAAAATACTTAGATATTTTATTAAAAAAGTTAACAAAATTGTATTTGTAAAGATTCTTAAGGAAAAAAATAATGAATGAGAAGTAATCACAGGAGTTGGTGAGCGGAGCGACCTTATTATCATTAAAAATTTTAAGCTTTCTGACTATTTGCTTACATCTTTTGTTACGCTATGTCATTTATTCTAAAACTACTTACATTTATTACAGTTATTCCGGCTATAATTGTAGCGATTTGGGCAGGTGTGAAAGGACAACTCGGTTATACTATAGAAGATGCTCTAGCACCACAGGGGTGAGTTTCTAGTTTTATTTTATTATTTGAAATATAGCCCCTTTAATTAATTCTTTCTTTATGCAAAGCATACTTATATTATTTTAAATCAACAATAGATTATGTTGCATGTCACACGGAAAGTTTTAATTTTCTTTCTTCATTAACAAAATATAATAATATAATAAATTAATTTTTAAAAGAAAAGCTTTTCAAGTGGTCTTAATAGAATATATAAATTCTTATGCAATAACAAAAACTTTTAAAGCAGAGATTCACAAGCATTTTCGCTCTGATATATTTCAGATTGTAAAACAAACCCTTTAAATGATCTTTAATGTTTGCATATTTTGTAAAGTTCAAAAATTAAAACGGACAAAATTTTGGAATCTAGAAAATTTGCATTTTTAAGTAGTTAAGATGTTTTTAAAATTACAAAAAAAATTTTGTTAAATTATAACAAAAGGTGAAACAGGCAGAACATTAACACAGGTTCTCTCTCCGTTGTTGTGTTCTCTTCTCATGTAGTTCTGAAAATATTGAAGCGCGATAAAGAAGTTTTTAGTATTATATAGAAATATTTTATCGATTTATCTTTGTTTAATATATTTTTTTAATTTGGCTTAAATTGTTTTTGAGTGTTTGAAAGTTGATTGAGATTAATAAAGTTAATTTAATTTCCATGTAACAAACGTAATATAATTTTATATTTTTTTACTTTAAAAACTTTAGTAAGGTAGAAAAGGTAGTTTTCCGTTTTATAAATTAGGGAGGTAGTAAGGTAGTTTTTGTTTTATAAATTAGGAAGGCAATGTCTTCAACTGAAGAAATTATAGAATTAAAATAGCGAATAATTATTGCTTAAAAATTAATTTATTCAAGATAACACACGTAGCAAAACGTTACGTGTGTAACTGTTACTTGTGTTAGAAGTTTCTTTTTTTACTTTAATACTTTTTTTTCAAATGAAAAAAATCATGTCCGCACATTATTCATAACCGCTCCACAATAAAGTCAAAATGTAGCACAATAAAGTCAAAAAGTAAGAAAAGAAAACAGAGAAAAACGAAGAAAATTAAGAAAAATAATAAGTTTTATTTACTGCGCATAAGCTGCAAGTATATAGAACTTATAAAATAAGTTAAAAAAATATAATAAAAACATAAAAAATAACGTAATAAACGTTTATGAAAAGTGAAGAAGAAAAATTACTAAAATAAAGTATTCTTAAAATTATTTTTAAAAAAGAATTTTTTTTATTTTAAAAAACTTATAAAGCCAGATAACGAAATAATAAAAATTATTTTCTTTTTTAAATGTTTAATATTTTTTTAAATAGAATACTGTATTAAGAAAATACTGTATTTCTTCATCCGTAAGCACTTAGTCACATAATTTTCTCCTGATAATCAAGTTACAAATTCACTTTTCTTTCCATAACTAACATTGTGATATTTGTTTGATGACATGATTTTATTTCATTTGCAGATGCCCCTGGCAGAAACGTGATCTTTATGATTACATATTCATTTGCCCAGTTATTTCCGTTTTGCTGGTAAGAAAAATATTTTTATAAGTAATCATTTACAAAAAGACGATGTCTATTAATATACTAAAAATACTTATTGTAATTGTTATTGTTAAACTTTTCAGAATGTGTACATTTTTGTGTAATTTCTAAATCACAAAAAACTATATCTCCGAGCAATTATTTTTTTTTTTATAAAAAAAGAATTTAACGTTTGTTTTAATTATTTGGTAAAAATTATAAAACGTTAAATCTAATTAAGCCTTATTTTTTACTTTTTTTCTTACAACCGAAAATAATAAGATAACAGAGATATTGTACAACAAAATTTAAAATTGGTTAGTTTTATAGTAAATGAGACTTCAGAATTCAATTCAGAACAGCTGCATACGTTTTTAGAGTTTTTCTTTTTTTTTTAAAGTTTTTTTTTAATCGAGATTAACTATGTTATTACAAATTAAAAACTCATGAACTTAATCTCATTTAAGGTCTACTATAGAATACGATTAGTAATCTTTACACAAAACGAAAACTCAAGCATACAGAAAGATGTACTTCTCTGGGCAGAAATAGGGGGCTTCAACGTTGCCCACCTCAAAGTGATTATTTATTTAAATTTATCAAAGACAACCAAATTAAAAAGATATTTTACAAAAAACAAAAAATGATACTGGTTTATATTCAAGGATTAAAAAAAAATTAATAAAATAATTTGAAGCTTTAAATAAAAAGAAATTATATTAATCAAGGATTAAATTTTTAAGCAACTTTACATTCAAAGGAAAATCAAATTACCACAATATCTGGAGGGTGTATCGAGTCTGGTTGTATACATCTAAAATTAAATAATAAGAGCGAAAATAAAATAACAAGTTATAAGTATACATAGAATATTGTTTTTTTTATCGTCTAATTGGCTTTAATATATCAGACAAATTCCCTGAAAAGATTTTTTTAATCTCTTTCACACTACACAAAGTGAAATCAGAGCACATGAATATGTTCTGATAAAATGAGCATATTTTTCCATTACAAACATTCAATCCTTATGATTCAAACAATTGAGTATTAACTTGATAATTTATTTGGGCTGACAATATTTTAAGTTACGAAATCAAACACAAAAACATACTTTCTCTATTTAAACGTACTTTTCCCCCAGAATTTGAACTCTAGATACTAATCTGAATTTGAATTCTAGAGTGGCCACTATAAGGAAAATACTATCCCTACAATTTATTTAGAACAGCATTTTAAAATTTTGATCCCTTAATGATTATTTCACTGCATTTTTTTATACCGGGAACAGTTTATTCAAATCGAAAAAATTATGCAAAAGATTATGCAAAAAGAACTTTTTAAATTACGTTTCGAAGGAAAAGGGAGTTATTTTCTAAATGAACTTTCATACTTATACAAATTATTGTCTTTGAAACATAAAACTCTTTTAAAAAAATGAGTATCGCTTATTTTCTTTTTTTTTCAAAAAAAAGGATATTTGGGTCGAATTTTATATTAAAAGAATTATCTTTACTTATTATTCTGTCTGCTATTTAAGACCTTATTCAAATTAAAATTTTAAATCGAAATAATATTTACAATTTTATTTTATTACAATTCAGAGTTACGTATAATGGTACAATTACTATTATTTTCACAATGTTACATTTTAATTTTTTTACTATAGCAGTTTGAGGATAAATAAATTATTTAGTAAGTATACATATCTAGCTGTCTTACTGTAGGATAACTTACAATGCAAGCAAGAGAAAAAATAAGTAAATGAAGATTTAACATTTAACTTCCGTTTATAGTGACATATTTATGAAATTAAAAAAACTTAAATATCTTTTAATTTTTTACCGTACAGAAATTAAAACTAAAACTAAATTCTTCGAAAAACTGAAACATTTATTGAAAATAAGAAAGTTTTCATAACAATTCGTTTATATGAATGACTATAAGCATGAAGAAATTTTAAGTAAATACTCTATGAAAACAAATTAGGAGGCATAATTTTATTCCAGCATTATAAAAAATAGTAATTCAAGTAATAGAGCTTTATACGGATGACCTTTAAAGATAAAGTTTTAAAAACGAGGTAAACACTGTGAAAAATGGATACTCGATAATCACAAAACTTTCTTCGTTTTTGTCGAAACCGTTTTCTTATATATGCTCCGAGCAAAAATTTATTCGATGTGACAAAGAAGCGAATTTCGGCGAAATTCAAAAAAATATTTCGTCATTCTATTTATTTTCCAAAAAAATAATAGTGCCTAAAATATCTAACTTCTTTAATAATTTCTTACTTTACCAAGGGAATCATATAGTCGAACAGATCGATAAATTGTACACATGCCCGAAGATTCTAGTTCATTCTAGTTCACGATCTCCCACAATGCACTATGAAGAGGTTTAGAACTGAGGAAACATTTTCGTCATACATTTGAGAGTTCGCGTTTCAATCACGTGATTTGTGATGAAATGATTCTCAAAATTAGCGAAATGTTGCTCAAGAGTTGTTGGATCGTCAAAAGTGTTTTATTTCAGAGAGTGAAGTGTTTGAAAATGTTTGGTTTATGGCGAAATTGAATAAAAAAAAAAGTTGGGAAATTCGCTTACTTGATTACTCTGACAGGCAAATGATTATATTTTATTTTCATAACTTATTACTTGAAAAAGATAACTCAATGATTAATGTACTACACTGTCATCTTGAAGAAGAGGGTTTGATCTATAGAGTGACGCAATGGCTCAATGGTTCAAACGCTAAACTTTTCTTGGGAAAACTGGATTCTGTCTCCAGAGACGGACTGAAGCCCACCCTGCTTCATCTTCATGGGCATCCACAGGTCTGAGAAGTAAAGGCAGCTTGTGCGCAATAGTAAGCATGCTGTCCCAACCAAATCATGTCATATAGCAAAATTATGAAGTCTTAACCTCTACCCCCCCTGGCCAGAAATAGGCTGTTGCGGTTATACTGTTATCTTAAAATTAAAGACTTAAATAAAATTTAGACAGAATAATCAACCCTTAGAAATGCTTGGAATAATTTAATTGTGTGTTAATAATGTCTCATTGAAATTCAATGCACGTTTTGAAATAATTGCTTGATAAGTAATCTCCAATAATATTTGCATTAGCAATTAAACCTTATTATTCCTCGCGGCATTTAATTATCCAACTTTAATTTCAGGTGAATATAATTTTTCTTGGGAAAATAATGTGGGTATTGATTACTAAATTAAGAGTGACTACATCAGTTGAATCAGAGCAATACAGGTACGTTTGCAATCATTATTATTATTCACTGCGTGTAATGAGATCTTTAAAACAGTAAACTATACTCGTTTCGTACACTTACTTCTGAAGTTCTTGAATAAATACGAAGAAGAATGGTCTGAAGGAAGACTTATTTTCGCAGTTTATGACTCAAATAGATTATTTAAGATATTTTCACTAGCCCTTATCTTAACTTCTTTATACTCCTTATGGCTTTTAATAAATACGGTTTTTAGTAAATACAGCTTTTAGTAAATACAGTTTTTAGTAAATATAGTTTTTAGTAAATACAGATTTCAGTAAATACAGCTTTTAGTCAATTCAGCTTTTAATATATACAGCTTTTAATAATTAACTTTAGCAATTAAAACAAGGCGTAAATCAAATTTTTGAGTCAGTTGAAACTTCATTTGATTTCATAAAGAAAAATTTAAAAACAGACCTTGAAGTAAAGGATCCATTTATTATTGTCTGGAGAGTCAAATTTCGTCAAATTCGTAGTTTCTATTCTGGAGAGTCAAATTTCGCGTATTAGTTGTAAAAAAACACGATATTAGTTTTGAACACAAAGATGAATATTATGTAAAACACACAAATCGATATAAATTGACTGAGTATTTCTTTTAAAATTAAGAGTTTCGAGATAGCTTTCCTTAATGATTATTTTTAGAATATTTCAGAAAAAGGAATTTAAAAGATAATACACACCAGGAAACGTTTATAATTAGATCTTCTATTGGCATGACAGGCCTTTGTGGGCCAGAGCACTCCCTAGAACTTTCCTCCACTCTTTGCGATTGTTCTTCAGTTCTCATTCTGAGGATTTTGAAATCCTCTTCTGCACAGTCAAGCCATGTGATCTTAGGCCTACCTCTAACTTTGGTTACATTGGTTTGTAATTGAAGATCTTAAATGTCAAAGAAGAAAAGAAACAAGGAAATGTGAAAAAAATGGATAAATATGACAATCGAAGCTGACGTCTTCAGGGGGTACCAGCTCCGGAAGTCATAAAAGCGAAACCTTTTCTATCCAGAGAGCACGACAAAATTCTAAAATTGCTCTCTCGTTACCCCAACAGTTTTGCCAGTCCAAGAATGCATAAAATACATAAAGCAAATACAGAAGAATAAAAACAAGACAAATGCATAAGAATAGTACGCACAAAAGCTTACTTGAAACAAAAATTTAATCACCAAATTATTCTACTGACTGCAAGACACAACTAAATGGAAATAAAATTTATAATTCAAAATGAAGTAAAATTTATATTTCAATTTAGTTGTGAGAAAAGTGAGAATAATGCGAGTTTATGAAGCAAAACATTTTATATAAATTCAGTAATTAATTTATAATAGTAAAATTTAAGAAAAAAAAATTTGTCCTATTTTGCCTTTTATTTGGTTTTTGTATTTTCTAGGAAAGCAGCTAAAGCTTTGTTAGTGCTGATTCCGTTACTCGGAGTGACTTACATACTGGTCATAGCAACACCTAGTCACAGAACAGGAGAAGTTGTTTTTACATTTATACAAGCTACTTTACTGTCCATACAGGTACCTAAATAAAAAGAAACAAACATAATGTAAGGTCTCTCTTCCATTTTTTTATATTTCAGCAATTGTTTTCAGATTTATCATATATTGCAAAGAGTTCGAATATTTCGTAACGTTCAAAAAAGCTCCTAGCATGGAACCCTACTTCAAAAAAAAATATTTTTATAAAAATAAAAAATGAAAAGAGTGAACTTTGCTTAGAAATGAAATGAAATAAAAAGAATTTTGTTCATAAATGAAATAAAATAAATTGCAACGTCTTTAAAATAATACCTTTCTCTTCGAGAAATATGAGTTTAAATATATTTGAAAAAAAAAGTAATTAAACGAATGAAATGAAGTATACATGATATGACATTAAATGATTTATGAGCTATATATACACTGAGTGGCCAAATTATTATGACCACCTCAGAGTTTTACGCAAATGAGTTATTGCGTCACAACGTAGCTGCTAGAGGGCAAGATAACCATAACACGGGAATGCTGGACAAGTAAGTCATCAGTTATACTGTGTTGCTTGCTCAGATATGGGAAAGAAAAGTGATTTAACTGAATTGAGCAGAGATTTNGCGAGATGTGTCGGAACGAGCATCAGCAAAACGGCTGCACTTGTGAAGTGTTCTAGAGCAGCAGTTGTTAATGTGTACAAAGAATGGACAATCAAGCAAAAAACCGGATCTCAACGTCAGACTTGTGGTCGTCACAGGGTACTGAATGCTCGATCAGAGAGAAGGCTGGCCAGGGTTGTGCAGCGCAACAGGAGAGCAACAGTGCGACAAATTGCGAGTGATCTTTCTGCTCGACGCATATTGCGCCGTATAGGGTATGGAAGCAGACGACTGAAGGGGTGGTCATAATAATTTGGCCGCTCAGTGTATATGCATTAAAAGTTCGAGGAAATTTTTATTCTTATTAAAATGAATTAATAAAAATGTATCTGTCCAACGTTTTTCTAATTAATTAAGACTTATTATTTTCATGCTTTGAACTTACTGAAATAAGTTGCCACTAGAATTTAAAAAAAGTATTATGTCCACATATTTTGATTTTAACCACCATTTAAATTTTATTGAAAGCTGAAGTGGTTTATCTGAAGTTTTAAAACTATACTTTTAATACATAAAAAAATGTGAGCTAGATTCAATTCTAAGTATTACAACAGAATTTTAAATTATTTTAAGTAGGACTTATTTTTCTTTCAAAAAAAAATTTCAAGTGTTCAAAAAAAACGAACCATTGTTTAAGTCTTGTAAAAGATAGAAAATAATCATTTAGAGGAAAGTTTTTCGAGCTTTACATTAAATGTAGTAGGATACATTTAATAAATTTGTGAATACACGTAGCGAATATATTCAATTATTTTTCCTTTAGAAATAATAATTAACATCTCATTAAGTGATGAATTTTTGATTAGATAGTTTTATTACTACAAGTGAGTTATTTTTTATTACCTTACGAAAATTATCTTTAGAAAGTATTTAAAACAGCATCTAATCTTAATACTTTTGTTGTTATATAAGTTTTATGCTCTCTTATACTTAAATAAATGTTTTGCTTTTTAGGGCTTTATAGTCGCTGTTTTGTATTGTTTTTTAAATGGGGAAGTAAGTTAAATTTCTTCATTAAATAATTTTGCAGTGCTATTATGAATTTTGTTATTTATGTCTTATAGTGATTATTTTATTAAGTGATTTACTTTTGATTATTTAATTTTATAATGTATAGCAAATTTTATGTATCAATATTTTATTATACATCCCTAAAAAAACGAATTAAAAAAAACGACACGAAATACTTTCTAAAATTCATTTTGCATAAGAGGTTATTAATATGACAATATTTGAATTAAATTTTTATGAAGCAAGCAAATATTAAGTTAAAAAGGCTTTTTTATTGTTAATGAAAAATATATCCTTAATTTAAATAAAGTACATAAAGCTTGCTAAAAGCACTGTTTTACTAAGAAATAAAACGCTTCTATTATAAGCATAATAGATCTACGAACTTTTAATTTATAATATCTTGCATTATTTTAGCTTTCTTATTTGTTTTAACCCACTAAGCGGGCTATTTTTTTCTTCTTAAAATTAGTGTTAACACTTGAATGTCCGGAATTTCAATAACCATTAAACGCCAGCCATTGTAGTTTCAACACCACCAAATAATTGTAATGACTAAATAATTGCAGGACTACTGTTCAGTAGGGCTTAGTTTCAATACTTTTTAATATTATTTCATATTATTATCATAGGGTAAAGTGCTGCCAGCGTTTCCGTCTCATATAAAAAACGATGCAAGGATAAACTTTTTGTGTTGAGTTTATTTATTTTTACTCATTTTTATTCTTACATGATGACTATCAGGATCTTACAAATATAAAATAATTTTACGTAATTTGCTATGATTAATAAATCACCTAATATGCAAGAAGTTTCATATACTTTAATTTTATTTTCTCCAGAAATAGGCTTCTTTTTTTAAATTAGAAATCCAGAAATATTTGCTGGAATGTTAGAAATTTAAGTTTCAAAAAAATAATTCCAAAAAATTAGGGTTTGAGTAAAAATGGTTTGAAATGAAGAACAAGGAAAATTAATAAATTATCTAAATAGAAAATTGATAAAATGTCTGAATATGCTACCAGTTATGCTGAAAGTTAAAACACACATTTACGAAATTTTAAATATAAACCCAAAAAGTTTCGAAACAGATGGATTCCTAGACTTCTGTTCTTCCTTTTTATGTGCTTTCTTCCCCTTTTAATTTCACTATCAGAGAATTTTTTAAAATTTAAGTCACTTTACTCTTATACTTTTTCGTGTAGACACGTTAAGAGAGGAAAAGTATACGATACGAATAAAAATTATTTTTAATTCTTATTGATTTACAACTATCTCGAATAAATTTACTCAAAAAAAGAAGTTCTGTTAAATTAAATATTTATATTATTTCTATTGATAAAATTTTATTTTTGTTTACATTTTTAATTCAAAAATTGAAGCCATAAATTATTAATGTCAGTGTTATAGAAATAAAATTGAGAATCTGATTAAACTCCTGTCAAATAAAAAGAAAGATAAATATCTGTAGTTTGCGAAACGTAATAAAATATTTTAATAACATTAAAAAGCATTGCTAAAAATTTGATTTTATTTACTTTGGGAAAGAGTGATTGTCATTGCAAACTGGTTCTCAATTACTTTTCTTGAAGGTAAAATTCCTGAGTTTATTGAGTTTCATTAATTTTAAAATGTCGTAAGCAGAGAAAGATCGTATAAGAGAGAGATAGTGTCGAAAAACATAAAATCGCAAATAAATCAGTTTGTTAGTATATTAATGAAAAAAAAACAATTTTTTAACAAAACAGGTTATGAGATCCAAAGCTCGCTATTATTTAGGACCTTAATTAAAAAGCATAATGTTACTTTTTCAGTGAATTTAAATAGCAAATATTTATATGAAATAATGTAAAAACAAGTGTTTTTAAAAATAATGGCATTATTTTTTTCTTCTTTGATCTTCATATGCCTATCAGCGTTTAAGGGCACTGTCATGGCGCTTCAACTCTTAGATTATTTTTTTATTTTTGTGTATCAGCAATTATATCACTTACTTTTCAGAGAGGTTGCTCATAACTTGAATAATACAGTATTTATAAAAGAAAAAACTATGCCAAATTGAAATCGATTTTAGCAAAAATTGCAACAAGTATTTAATGAACTAAATGTAATTTACTGTAAGTCATTTTTGTATTTAATTTCATCCTGCTGTGGTCTGACTCTCAGTTTAAATACAAAAAATAAAGGAATCTGAAGGTCTCTGTGATGCAATTAAAAACACTTACTTTACGTTCTTTAGTACCATTTTGAACTTTAAAGCTAGTAAAGATTCAATAAAACATTTTTCTTCTTCTTCGGATGCTGAAATTTTAATCATATTTATTTACTTAAATAAATATCTGTAAAAATATTTTAACTCAGAGAAAAATTTCTTTTATCAAAACACATTTTGATTAATTATTTTGAAAATTTTATTCGATTTAAACTCTTTTTTTTTTAGTGGAAAATTCACGTTTTTTTTGTATGAGTTTCTATTTTAAAACAATGGATATTATTATTTTGTATCTTAAATAGAAATGCTCTGTTGTAAACAGAAAAGGCAAAACCCATACCACTAACTACATGCAAATACTAAAGTTATAAAGTGTTCTCAGGATTTCAATCAACTTTACACTTTAGGATAAGCTATTTTAAATTCAGATTTTTTATTAAGCACAAAATAACTACATGAATATTCAATATAATTTTAAATTGAACGAACCAATAAGATTTTCTGAATGCGATTTGTAATAAAATCTTCATATTCAATTTCAATGTAGGAAAATATTATATATACCAATAGAAAATGTACAGTTAATGACATAATTGTTTGGAAATTTTTAAACTTGAAGCAATAGTAAAAAAATTACAAAGTAGGTTCAAAAAATTCGGTGATTAGCATAAAGTAAACAAGGGACACAAATATAACTCAAACATACTACAATACTCTTTTGAGATCGGTTGTATAACTGATGCAAGTGTACATCAAATAATGCTTCTTTTGGTAACGTTGGATGCACCGTTGCCAGAATACATCAAAAGAATCCGGAAATCCAGTGGTGGTAGACCCTGAGACTCCTGAAGTCTTATACATTCCTATATATTAATACGACTTTGGTCCCCTTTCTTTCATCAGGAACAGAGGGCACAATTCTAAGCCACTCCTGCCTAATTTGAAGCAAAACTTGACGTTCACGCGTTGCTCCATTTTTCAGTGACAATCTCACATTGACAGCGAAAAACTAGAAGCATTGCGCTCTTTTACTTATAGTCGTAAATTAAACAATAGATTAGGGCTGGAATAGCCTTGTCGGTAGGGCGCTGGGCCCAAGTTCGAGAGTTCGTGGGTTCGAACCCAGCCGGCCGAAGACTCCACGTGTAATAAAGTGACTGATGCACGTAAAATTTGTCGAATCGCAAAAGTCCTCCATGTTCCCATAACAAATCAATACCTCTGGGGGAACTGAATTGGAGATCGATCATTCTATGATTTAGGTCAAAATTACGATCTGTGGATGAATGAATGGATGTATGAATGGGTCTGCCCTATAAACGGGTGTGACGTAAGGTATGGCAAAAGTGGAATTCTTGACCAAAAATGGCGCCACTGGAGAACATGAACAATCGCACCCCCTCTGCCTAAACAGGCATACGTCAACAACAAACAATAGATTACCAAGCTTTTCGGGAGAACACCGCTAGTCTAAACTTATTCAAACAAAATCTGTACTCGTCTCTATTGAAAAATTAAGTTGCAAAATCTTTCCTTTTATTCACTCTAGTTCACAACTATGTTCACTTTTTTCTCTCACACTGTTCAAACAGGTCAATTTTAGTTTCAAATATTCGTGTTACATAAACATCAAATTTCCCTGAAATAGTATAAAGTTTAAAAAAAAATATTTGTAACTGTTAACTTCGAATGTGTGCGGGTGTTTTTTTTATTTATAACAGTTAAGATGTATGATTCATATCATTCATATCTTGCTAGGCTGAGAATTCATTTATTTACCCATGACAGATGAGTTGTATGATTATAATACCATTTCATGTTTCGGTTTAGAATTCTATTTTGTGCTGGAAATCTTATAAGAGATACGATTCCATTTCTTGTTTAGGTTCAGAATTCATTGAGAAATCGTTTAGAGAGATGGAGAATTCGTCGAGGGATCAACACACAGCCAAATCAATCTTTCAGTTTTAGATCATCACCACAAGAGAACTTCTATCGAAACATACCCAGGGGAAGTTGCATTAGTTTCTCAACTTCGATGTCATTCGTCAATCGCTCACCTTCTGTTCCAGCCATCAATAAAATGGATGCATATTTATCTCCTCCTGAATCCCTACCCATGAAAGACGACATCGTTTGAGAAATGATCAATAATGCGTATGAATGGTCAAAAGGATACAGGGACATATTGCCAAAGATAATATTCATTTTGAAATGCTCACCAATGTTTTACATGTCTGTCAATGTAGATTAGATTTATGTACATTTTGTTCCAATAAATTATCAAATAAGTGTTCTTTAAGTGATTCATTATAACATTTCTTAATTAGCAACTTAGTCATGAATAAATATGGTTATGGTTTGGTTTGCGATAAGAGTCTATGCGGCTACTTTACGCTAATAAGGCTAATAAGTCGTGGCTACTTTACGCTAATAAGGGAAGTACAAAATTTATCTACAAAATTTATATGGAAATAAATAAGTGAAGCATTCCCAGAAAAGCATGTCATGAGCCATGAGGTTCATGAAAGTTAATGCTGCACAATTTCATGATGTTGGCAACCAGGTGGACACTGCTCATCAGCCTCCTTTGCGAGTACTGTGCCAGAAATTGAGTAAGAAAACAAACCAATTTAAAAAAAATAATTACTTCACTGTTAGTTTGAAAGCAAATTGAGTCTTTGGAATTGGTCACGTTTAAACTTTTTATTCTGCTGTGACAAATATAATTTTAGCTCCAAGTTATTTCAGTAAGCCATATCGCTCAAGTGCTGTGATAGCGGCACAACTCAAAAAATCAAGTTTTGAGATAAATGGGTTTAAAGTTTTCATTGCTAAGGAAAATGGCTAAGAAACGCTTCAGTTTGCTTAAACGAAGATTACCTTCAAGTTGAATAATGAGTTGTGCTAGTATTGCAGCTGAAAGAATGTGTATTTTCATACTTATACCTGTTCTTAGTCCAAAACGAGTATTTTTTTAGTTGTGCCAATATTGCAGGCCATGAGCGATATATCCGCTACTCTCCTCTCTATTGTACTGTACCAAATATTACTGTCCATTTTTGGTTGCAATTTGGTCTTCTAGTATGTATTTATGTTGGTATTAACCTTTGTTCATAACTATAATAACTATTCAGAAATGGTAAAGAATTCTTTCTGTTTCGTAAATATTTAAATCTTCAAACACAATTTAAGTTAAATTTTAATTAATTTTCTTTTTCTCACAAACTTAATATGCAACTTGTTAAACGTGTAACGTTGAACACTGTAAAAAAACAAATGTTATGTTAACAAATGTGGACAAAGAATTTGAAAGATAATTTAATCAAAAAATATTTAAGAAAAAGGAAATTCGTAATCCTTAATGATGTGTTAGTTGTGAAACGCAAGTATTTTGTAACGGAAAAAAAATTATTTAACAATTCCTAAAATTCATAAATTTCAATAAACGAAAATTAATTGATAACATAACATTTTGAATAATATGAAAGCAACAAACGTTTTTATAATCAAACTCAAAGATTTATTGAACGTGTTTATTTCGCCAAATCTTCTAAACCTACCAAATTAACACTTCTTTCCATTTTAATTAACTATCAAAAGACATGATTGCGCTATTTAAAAGTAAAATAAAAAATTAATTTATTTCACTACACAAAAAACTCCACCTTGGCAATCATATATTACTTTTCAAGCTAACACTTTCGAACCATCAAAAGCTCAATATTTTTTCATCATTACCGTGATATCCTTTCTTTCCTTTATCTTGTCTTGTAGTACATTATCTGCAATATTAAAGGATTGAGCATTTATTTCGAATTCTCCCTTTTTTTTCAAGCATAAAAGAATAAAGTTGATCATTAATGCACAAAATGAAGATAAATTGACGATTAGAAAACGCTTCTATGAGTGTGCTTCGTAATCACGAAAATGAAAAACTAAGCTCGTAATGATTGTCTACAAATGTAAGGACGAAGATCATTAAAAGGAATACTGAGAGCTTATTTCAAATAAGATTTCAACTAACGAGATTATTTAGTAAATCAATTTGCATCTCGTAGCATGTTGCAATTTTTCTTTTCTCTATTTTTAAAAATAATTAGTACTTAACGTTACATAAGTTGATGAATTAATACACATGCGGGATTTATAATTAAGAGAAAATAATGTTATTAAATAGTTTCTTTCTCTTTCTTTTTTTTAAACAATTCGTACTTAGGGGTTACATAAATTGATGAATTAATACTCATGCTTGACTTATAATTAAGAAAACTAATTTTATTAAACATTCAGTAATATTTTTTACAGAGGGACATGTAGGTGATTCGATATTCTCTATACCCGTGAAATATTTAACTGGACTTTTAGTGACTTTAAAAAATTTTTTAAATCTCATGGTGTTCTTAGGTTGGATTTGAACTGTCCTCGTCATTCACACCATTTTAATCCACTTTTACTATTTCAACACTATTTTTTGTGATTTTACTAATTGTTTCCTTAATAGGCAATTTGCCCCATGATTAGTTTTTAAAATTTATGCCATTTGATTGCCTCAATATAAGGGTCTGTTGACCTAGAATGGCAATTTATATTTAATTTTCTTCTAATGTTGCTGTTGTTTTAAATTTAATTGTGCTCTTAATCCATATTTTAGGGTCTGTTGACCTGGACTTTTTATGACATACATGCCAGATATATTAGTCATGCTTTCTTAAAGATATAATATTCAGACTAATTGTAGATAGCTAATTTTGTTCAACAGTCTTGCTCGCCCTCTAAGTTAACGGGCTGTTGCCATATGACTTTTGTATTTTATGTATTTTATGCACTTTATGTATTTTGTGTTCTTTACTGCTTTTACTTGGTTTTAATAAACATTTACCCATATGCCCTCAATTGGGGCAGGTCGGGGTAAATATTTTCATACCAGTGAAATATTTAATATATCTTATACCAGAGAAAGACTAACTGAATATCCGTTATACGTACCGGGGGAAAAAAACGAAAAGAATCAATAAATTTCTGATAAGCAACTCTGCAAAATTGTGCACAAAACTGAAAGATATATACCGATACAATTAATAAATCTAAAATAATTCCAATTATTTAATTAATATTTATTATTTGCTGCCCTTCCCATTGGCTTTACGTTATAAAATTTAAGCAAAACACGTTTTTCTATTTCTCCCCGTCAATAGACATGATGCTGTTGATCGAGGCCAACTCATGATTGTCAAAATTTACCATAATAATTTTTTACATTTTAATTGTTTCCGGTCTCAGATGAAGTCTTTGGGCTCTCTGTTGGTTTTTTTAACGAAAGCAGTTAGCCTTGGTTTCATTTTAATGAGCAATCAAATGCGGCCACATGTGTGGTGATGTGGTCGAACTGATGTGGTCGAAGATTTTCTGCAAACTGAAAATATTCGCCTTATAGACTAAGCAGACAGATCGTTAAACCTCAACCCAGCAGAGCTTCGCTAGCAGGAATGCACAGAAGAGGGCAACGGGAAACTCGTAATATTTTTCCAACAACCATTCAGTTCTTAAAACAGAATTAGTAAATGGCGAAGATCAATTGCCACTGGAAGTTCTAAACAGAATTATTTTCAATTATTTATGAAGCAGAATTATTATGAAGATTTCCACTTTGTTTTGTCAATAAAATGTAGGAAAAACGATGGATAAAAATGTAAAAGAATTTAATCAAAATTAATAAGCTTTACTTACAAAAATTGCAAACAACTCTTGAAGAAACTTTTTAGATAGATAATATTTTAAAAATATTTAGATATATATTACAGATTATTTAATGATGCTTAAAGCATCTGATTCGTATAACGTAGTCTTATGATTTAAAACTGGCTTATTTATTTCTTAAAAAAATTCTCAAATTTCTTTAAGAATTGGTGAAATATTTTTGCTTTACTGAGTAGGTGGTGGTCCAAAACAATGTTGGGAACCTGTTAAGAGTTTTCCATTGTCGCTACTCTTAATCTATATATTTTTTTTAAAAAAACTAAGAGGCTCCGCCGCTACTCGCTTCGCTTGCCAAACTCCATAGCTGCTTCTCGTTCACTTTTTTCCTTAAAAATTTTTAGTTTTCAAATTAAAAATTGCTTTTTTTTAAGTAAAAAAAAAAAAAATTATTTTTTAATTAAAAAAAAGTCTTTTCTAATCAAATGTATAATTACTATAATTTTAGGTTAGACAATTATTTTAATATTTTAATAGAAAATAAATGAAGAATTAACTGGATTTAAAAAATAATCAACTGTGTCTAAAAAAAGTATTTAAATGTAAGAATAACTTTCAATTTCATCCAACAAATTAGTTGTTTCGTTAACTATAATTTTTCTTCCTTCTAATTTACCATAATGATATTTTGTCAGACTTTGATAGCGTTTATATTAATTTTTCACTTAAAAAATAATTTGCAACCCGTAATCGGAAGGATTTTTTCTAAAAAAAAAAAAAAGATCCTGAAAGCATATTTTTAGAAATGGTAATTGAATTCTTAAAATGACTTCTCATAGAATCATCTTTCCGTTAAGGGGTGAACTGGCCATTACAGTGATAGAAAAATTGATGAAGCCGATGGCAGTACCCATAGGATTTTTAAATCCTTCCAACTTCATCCTAACTGCACCTTCTGAACACTTTTTATTTTTATTTTTGGACAACACAATTCAGTTAAGGAGGTTCCAATAATGTTTCATGTTTGATTGTTTTACTCATAATAATCCCAGGAGCTTCCCTGACTTAGTAGTCTTGCCATTTCGCTAAACACTCTAAAGAGTATTACTCAATAAATAATATAGTATAGTACGAACTTTAACTTTGACAACCAGCATTTACAATAAACCATTGCCATAACGAACAGAAAAGAGAAAAGTAATAAAATAAATTAGTCAAATACAATTAATTTTAGAGTTAATCAGCGAAATTTTTTATCAGAAATGTCTTAAGTGTGCAAATATTATTTTTTTCCAGAATTGCTGTCAGAGCGGTGCATACTGTATAAAATTCGTCAAGTTAAAATTGTGCTTTGAATCTTTAGAAAATGTATCGTAAAGTCTTAAAAATTAAATTTCAAGAATTTTATGAAAGAAAATGTAGAAGAAATTTAAAAACTACCTTACGAAATATAGTCAAAATGGAATTTAATGTTTTAACCTCTTAAGTTTATTGAAATAAAACGCATTGGGGAAAAGTTTATTGAAGAGTTATTCTCAGAAGATATTTGAATAAATATATATTTCCCGTCTCAAACTTTAAAAGCTAATAACATAGATGT